ACTTCTTGGTTCATGTCAGAATGAATCAGTCAAAAATATGTCATGACGAGAAAAAAACATTTATAAAACTTTTTTTTTTCTTTCACACGAGTTAAACTCAGCAAGAAGCTAACATTAGCCACAGTTAGCTTACCATTCTCTGTCGTCCTGCTCTCTTGTCTTTAGCGTCATACTGCTGGATAGTCTGGTACAGGCTTCGGTACTTTTCCTTCGAGTTTGGTGTAGTCCATTATTATTGTTGTGTCGCAAATAAAACTAAACAAGATTTGCATGTTTAATTATGATGCCGCCCACATTGAGGTGGCCGAATTTCTGCTCAGCTCAACAGGACTGGGGTAGCGTAAGTCCAGGCTGCTGAAGTCAAAACTACACTGAAATAAGGCTGAAACGGATGTTTTCAATTAATCGAATAGAAGGAATTTTAATCTAGTAAACCATTATTCGACAATTAATCGTAAGTCGATTAATTGTTTGCATCCCTATCACAAACTTTCAGAATTATGTAAGACCGCAATTAAAAGTTTGCATATGTCTTTACAGTATAGAGCCTAGTTTGAGACACCAACTAGTCTCTCACACATATGTGAGTATATTTTTAGAAATAATAAATAAAAGATTATCTTGGATAAATAGCATTTCCATGTGGACCGGGCCTCCACCTATTATTGTTATCAGCCTATTACCTATTCTTTTTCCTTAGTTGTGGGCAGGCTATCGGTTGGGTGGCTGCTGTGGCAGCGCAAGTATTTATATTGTGGCTCAGCTGTGAGTCAGCTCATGTGTCTGGGTGCTTCTGATTAACGGGTTCCCAAAGTGCTCTGCACTCCTGCGGCTATTTGGTACCCACCAGCACAATTTCATGCCTCCACAGCAGCCTTTCTCTGCTCTCTGTTTCCAGCCGAAACCTGCGGCCATGTGGAATCCCACACATTAGCATTTTGTACCATCCCCTCCCTTTTCCCATGGCCTTTGGAATACATCCATGTCTTTATTTTCCCCTTAAATGGAACATAATCACACGTTTGATGGGATTTGCACTGCATGATAATGCTAGCTTGAGGTGTTTCTGAACTGGAAAGTGGCACAAAAATGTGTTTCCTTAGACGCCACAAGCTTTATGTCAAAACATTTCTTATGCCTGTTGAAGGAGTTCTTGAGAAAATCAACAATGCATCTTATTAAAGGAAGAATTATGTAAAGCTTATCTGGGCAATCAATACAGAAATGCCCTAATAGGATCAGAGTTTAAAGTTAAACTCTGTCGGAGGACATGGGATTACACGCCTGCAAGTCCTCTGTTGCRGTGAGACTGCAGCTCTTAAACAGAGCCAGTCTCTGATAGTCCCTAATCATGAAAGGTCTGTCAGTTCATGCCCTGACTTTCCCTGTAATGATTTTAAATCACAGTTTTCCCTCAAGGAAGCAAATGGAACTTTTTAGCAACTGCCAAGTCAGAAGAACTGACTGTGAAATGCCATTTATCTGATGCAGGACAGCTGCTCTAAATATATCGTCCAATCCCTGCAGACTTTTCTTGCTCTCTGTCTCACTCCTTCTCTGCATGTGTGAGTTTTACTGAACACCTCGACTCTGACGTTCTCATCCTCCTGTTCCATTTTTCATTTTGACACGAGGCCTTATTAATCTGAGAGATAAAGGGGTGGGATTTCTGAATCAATGTTTACTGTGAAATGTTTAAAATGGACCACAGTAAAGAAAGGGAGGCGYGATGAAAAAAGTAAACCAGGCATAATCAATTTTGACTTTCTAAGTTTTAAATTTATGGCAAAGTAATATTGTCTTCCACAGCAAAGATAAGGTGAGGATTACTGCATGCATTTTTCAAATGATGTTGGAATGAAAAATCAACTTTGTCAAATTGGCATTTAAAAAAAAGAAAGGAAAAAAAAAGACAAAGTACTTTGTTTGAGATGAGACAAGAAAGCACACACTAACCAAACTACCAATCCATCATATTCAGAGTGCAGGAATGTTCTTGAAAGTACCGTATTTATGCAAAAGTATATAATACAAAAGATTTAATACATAAAATCATCCACAAAGTTGGCGAGTAGTACTATACTCAAATTATTTTTTTCTCATGTATTTTACATGAAATATTAGCTTCATTCACAAAATGCCTGAGTCTGCAAATAAGACTGCATTGCAAAAAGCGGTTGAAGCGAGCTCACCTTTGACCCCTAATTTACACTAGATGTGGCTCTGCTCCACTGCGCTGCGCTGCGGTCTGACCTCCGCAGCAAATATGCACCCATTCTAATCAGTGAGTGTTTACACTGGCTCCTCACAGCGGCGCAGGGTGGRGGTGAGAGGACGGCAATCCACTAAAATTAGAACCYATCCTATTTTTGCCGGAGCTGCTCCAGAGTCAATCTCCAGAGATTACGTTGCATCAACAGGAAAAGGAACAAACACAACATCTGTTATTTAAAAAATAAGACACCATAAGGCGGAGTTATTTTGTTGAAATCCAAGTTATATTAATCAATATATGGATATATTTCTACACAAAAGCTGTCAGAATGTATCGTTCTGTTAGGGACGCAGATGGCAACCTGTAGCATGAAGCATATGTGTGGACACACAATACACGTGGATTTTATTTTGAAATCAGAAGTTTCAAAAAGACGACAGCGATACAGTTTCAACAGCCTTTATACAGTATCTATGTTTTCAGCTGTGTTTGGAGTTCGTCTTTCACTGAATTTGCTCTGGCTTCCACATTTATCACTGGATTTCTCGCACAATCTCCTTCATGCACACACTTCTTCCTCTGTGTGTCGCACCGGAGTGATGCTGAGCAGAGCTGAGTGGAGCTGATGCTGTATAAATTGGGATGCAAACGAACAGCTGCGAACTGCGCACCACAGCACAGCGGAGCGGAGCTGCATCTAGTGTAAATCCAGGGTGACACTCCTTCGTGCCTCCGAGCAAAGGTAGTAACAGACCCAGGCAGCGACGTGATGTGAAAKAAAAGAGAATGATAACAAACTAATGACATTCATGTGCGACCGGGCCACTCCTGGAACAACAACAAACACATGTTCGTCTGTAACATGTGTTACCGTCTACCGGTGTTCTGAAAAGGTTTGTTTGCCCAAAAAACATTTCCCCACCACAGGGGGCACTCACGAGTAAGCATTACCGAAGTATGGTAAATCTCATGCTAAGTCTCTGAGTTTTGTGTTGGCGCCCCCTGATGGACCATGTGTAAAATGTTGGCAGTCATATGATGCTGCTACAAAGCTCAAAATCATAGTTTGCTGATATACATTTGTTGTCAAAATGCCTTTTATAGTACATAAGTTGTTGAAATCAAATTAACAGTCAAATGATCATTTTACTGATATGTATAAAGACTGCAAAGACTGAAAAATCTTGAAGTCTGTATGAAATTAGAAGTTTCTTGAGGATTTATTTTTTTGTGCTTTTTAAGCTAAAAAACGATAGGGTCTTATTATACATGAGACCGTAGTATACAAGAATAAATATGGTAGATAGTTTATGAAAATGGACATGTAGTAAATTAAAGACAAACCTTTCAGATCATTTTCTGTTGAGGAATGACGGKGTTGTAGCTGCTTTGGTCAAACCTAGAGAAAATGTTTTGCAAATCCTCTGGCAGCACTGCCAGCCTCAAAGTGGTGACTCTCAGGTACTACCACGTTCAATTTTAACTCCTTATCTGTAAAGTTGTCCAAGCTATAATATTTTTGAGTTGGCAAATATCAGTTGGATGTGGCAGCTGACTAAAACTGCATTGATGTTGAAAATGAATTAGTTGTAGATCTATTTCTTTCGATTAGATTTAAAAAGTTTCAATAAAATGCATCCCGTGGAGTACAGGAGATTTTGCTACAGCCAACAGGGTTGACTCCAACAATTATTGATAAAGGTTAAAAACAGGTCTAACTTCATAAATGGATTATGTGTTGTGGATTATTCTCACCCTACAAAATCACCAGGTTTTAAGCACATCTGTAAAATGCACTGAATCCTAGCCTATTTTAGAGTTTTCTAAGGTCAGTTGTAGCAGCCATCTAGAATTGGATTGGCTCCAAAAGGTAATCTGTTGTTAATGTACACCCACTCATTATTTCTTGCAAATTTCAATAAAAACTGACTGTGTGAAAGCTATTGTGTTATTTTAAGGTCAATTGGCTGAGGCAGCCTTTTTGATTTGGATTGACTCCAGAAGTTAATCAGCTGTAGACGGACATCTATTGATTAGTTTCTGCAAGTTTCATTAAAATTCACCCAGTGGTTATAAGATACTTTGGTAACAGGCAGACAAATGAACACACATAGGCAAAACACACACCTTTGCCTGTCAGCAATAAATATTTTAAGAAAGACAAATAAAATTAAAGAAAGAAAGCGATAGATAAACCAGGGCCTCTTGCTTTGCTGACGTAAAGTTGCAATTAAAGTTGTAACAAAAATTGGCACACGGGTTTGGAGAGTCATTCATTTCCTCACATTAATCATATCCTCCTGTTACTCTAAATTAAAAAGGTTTTCCCACCATAACACTGTAACATAAAATTCCTATTAATCCTGAGAATTGTGACTGTGTGTGTGTGTGCGTGTGTGTGTGTGTGTGTGTGTGTGTGTGTGTGTGTGTGTGTGCTTGATGTTCAGTGTCAATGAAAAGAAAACTGTAGGAAATGATTAGTATTAGAAGTGGGCCTTCCGATTTGATAAATTGATGTGTTCAAGTACAACCTGTAAATTCGATAATCCACACTGAAGTAAAGTTACTCTTAATATAAACAGAAATTGACTATTTTAAATATTACAGTTTTGTTTAGTTGTAGATGAATTTTTACACACGTTAGTACTTCCTGTGTGCTACTGTAAACATTTTTAAATGCTTTATGAACTCACACTGTTATCAGCAAAATGTTGATTCTTTTCTTTTGGCAATTTCATTCTTATTTTATTCTTTCATTATTTCCTTGTATTTACTTATTCCTTAGAGATTAAATACTCCTGGGTTTTCAATGGACAGCTCAGTTTCCTGCAGCAGGACGCTCGTCGCTTCATCTCTCAGAGGACCGGCAACTTGTACATCGCGAAGGTTGAAGCCTCGGATGCCGGGAATTATACATGTGCAGTGAGAAACATGATGACCAATGCTACAGTGCTCAGCTCTCCAACTCCCGTGGTGGTGCGAAGGGACGGTAAGACTCTCRGGACCGCCGTCTGCTTATTTTGTGCACTGAGCTGACACGAACATTCATAGGGAGGGCGAGCAGGGGAGATAAATTGCTTGTCTCAAGCGTGACATTGTTTTTTTCCCCCCTCTTACTTTTTTGGCAAGATTTTTACACAAGTCAACAACTTTCTAGTACACAGAGTTGTGTATGCGAGGAAACCTCTGGATCTGCATGAAGGCGTGTATTTACATAACTAGAGTGCATGCAGGCTCACGCACAGCAAGGAGCTTGACACCCATTCAAACCTCCACAGAACCAGTTTTGTTTTTCTCCTCAGACTTGCACTAAAACAGACATAACATATCCACCTAAAACTGCTCAGCCTCAGTATGCTTGCTGACAAAGTTGGGACCTTTTGTAAAATGTAAAAAAATAAACAAAAAATACATTAATAAAAAATAAAAACAAATATATATATATATTGTTCAGAATGGAACATAATAAACATCAAGTGTTACAGTTAAGAAATTGGCAATTTTGGGGGGAAAATTGTGTTCATGTTCTCTTGTGTCTGCATTTACCTGCTTCTTTGGCTCTGTCTCAATTCATGGGTTGCAGCCGACATCGGCCGCATTTGTCGGCCACTTCCATCACTGCCCCGCGCTCTAGGCCGTCCCACCTACTCATGCGGCTGACAGATGCGGCCGACAAAACCTCGAAAACATCGGCTACATCTGAGTACCCTACACGGCTGACGGTATCCCAGAATTCATTGCGCTGTCAGCAAGTTAAACAGAGGAACAATGATGGCGTAGTTTTTTTTTATTTTTTTTTATTTAACAACCGGTTGTTGTTGTTTTTTTAATGACTGAGTTCGGAATTTTATCACGGACTGAAAAATGTAAGTTAAACAACTTAGCTGAGTAAACTATTGTTGAAATGAGATGTTAAATAAAATGCAGTTACAAGTACTGATACTGGAGCTAAACCCAAATTGTTTATGCTTTTTATTTATTTACTTGTAACGTTTTTGTAATAAAGCTGAAGTTTGTGAAGTTATACCTCGAAAAAACAAATGAAGCGATGTGATATAAAATGTAGCACCATTGTAACGAGGCAGTGAGTGGACATGCAAACATACGTCTTTTGTAAACTAGAACGTACCATTTCACAGCCGTTTCTGCAGCTGACAGGAGCGACCTACGGCTACGTCGACTGTGGACAACGTTGGCTGTGGTCTACGTCAGTTACAACCCATGATTTGAGACAGCTGTTGTGTTTCTTCTTTGGCGTTCCCACTCTCACCTGTTCCACAATTGTCTACTCACAGGTGTTGGTGTTTTGAGTTAATTCGATTTTGTTTATATTGTGTGTCCTCTCCTGTTTTGTCAGTCGAGGATTGCTCTCTGCTAGGGCCTTCCATGGTCTCCCTAGAGTATTTTCTTAAGAGCTTGTACGTACTTTCAGCTGCCTTGTCAGCACGCTTTATTTTTGAATTAAACTTTATTTTACCTTTTACTTATCGAGCCTCCTTGAGTCTGATCTGCATTTGGGTTCCTACTACTACAACCATGTCAAGGTTAAAAAGGTGAATTTGAACTGTAGGTTTAAAAGTAACTTTGAGTTATTTGTAAACAACACATCTCAAAAAATCAGGGATAAGAGAAAACAAAATGCTGTAAAATAAGTAGTTCAATTAAAAAAAAATAGGTGGGGAAAAAAAAGCTAGACAAGCCCTATACAACTAATTGGATATTCCTTATATTGTAACATCCCCTATATTAAAAATCAACATTAAGGAGCTGAATCTGTCAGACGTAAAGATGTACAAAGGTGTTCCATTCTGTGAAAATTTGCGTCTAAAAATATTGGAACAGTTTCAGAATAATGTTTGGGATGGATTGGGGATTTTACATAAATTACTGATTATAATATTATTCAAGTGGAAAACTGATCTGTGGTCAGAATGAATCCAAATTTGAAATTCCTTTTGGAAACCACAGATGTGGTGGTAAACATGGACCTGTCCCAAATTGTTTGGCAAATGTTGCTGCCATTAAATTTATTATTACCTTTTTGTTTTCCAATGGTACATGTTTTTTACTTTCAACATTTGATGTATTTACTGTTTTGTTGTGAACAAAATATGGGTTCATGAAATTTGTGTATCATTGCATTTAATTTTTTTATCTTTTACAAAATGTCCCAGTGTTTTTCAGAAAGGGGATGTGATTTCAGAGTTCACATGCACTTCTTCTTTTGGGTTTTAACGTATGAAGTTTTGCTTTTGTCARTCATGTAGTGGTGATGGGTGAATATGAGCCAAAGATCGAGGTTCACTTTCCTGACACGCTTCATGTCTCCAAAGGATCTTCAGTGAAGCTGGAATGCTTTGCTTTAGGAAAGTAAGTGTAACACACAACCACCATGTTGTGTCTTTGGGAAGAATTGTGAAGAAGGTACAAAAAGGTCAGTGTGACCTTGTGTGGGTTGCTTCTGCAGTCCCGTGCCTTCTATTTCCTGGAGGAAAGCCGATGGAAATCCACTCCCTGGCAAGATTAAAATCAACCACTCCACTGGGGATCTGGAAATTCCATATTTTCGCCCAGAGGATGCCGGTGTGTACGAGTGTGTCGCTGAGAACAGCAGAGGAAGAAATGTTGCCAGTGGGAAGCTCATATTTCAAAGTAAGAGTGATTTCACAATTTTTTGTCATATTTCCTGTTAAATAATGATGGCAAATGTATATATACATATATATATATATATATATATATATATATATATATATTGTTCAGAATGGAACATAATAAACATCAAGTGTTACAGTTAAGAAATTGGCAATTTTGGGGGGAAAATTGTGTTCATGTTC